TGTACTTCATGCTGATGTTGTACTCTCTCTCCTTGTTCTTCTTACCACGGTTGCTGACTTTCCCGCAACTGTTGGAGACTTCCTTCCTGTTTCTTTTCTCGTTCTTCTTGTTTCCTTTCTTGTTCCAGTTGCCACTGGTGCTGGTTTTCTTGCCTCTGCTGTAGTCTCTCTTCTTGTTTATTTTCTTTCTCCTCCAACCACTGCTGTAGTCTCTCTTCTTTTTTCTTTCCTTTCTCCTCCAACTACTGCTGTAGCCTCTCTTCTTGTTTCTTTTCTTTCTCCTCCAACCACTGCTGTAGTTTCTCTTCTTGTTTCTTTTCTTTTTCCTCCAATCACTGCTGTAGTCTCTCTTCTTGTTTATTTTCTTGTTCTTCTTGTTTCTTTTCTTTTTCCTCCAACAACTGCTGTAATCTCTCTTCTTGTTTCTTTTCTTTTTCCTCCAATAACTGCTGTGAACTCTCTTCTTGTTTATTTTGCTGTTCGAGCTGCCACTGTTGCAGGTTTTCTTGCCATTGCTGTTGTGTTTCTTCTTGTTTCTTTTCTTTTTCCTCCAACCACTGCTGTGATCTCTCTTCTTGTTTATTTTGCTGTTCGAGCTGCCACTGTTACAGGTTTTCTTGCCACTGCTGTTGTCTCTCTTCTTGTTTCTTTTGCTGTTCTTGTATTGCTGCTATCAAATCTGCTAAGTTGTAGTTTGATTTGCCACTTCTCGTTTCCATCTTTCTTTTCTTTCTTTCTGTCCTATTCTCTGACACCAATTTGTTACGTAGGTGCTTGTTTGTTTGTTTCCAGTAGAAATTCTTTCCGAGGATCTTCAGCAATACAAGTCCTTTTTGATTAAACCAGTTTATTCTTCCTCGATACAAACTTTTAGTACACAGTAGTTCCACAATAAGTACGTTTCTCGTCACTTTAAACTTAACAAACTTTATAATACACGCTATAAATCACAGCGATTCACAATCTCGATAATTTCGCTCTCGACGAGTGCAAAACACACACTTTATGGCTCATTAGATCGAAACTAACAGAATAAAAACATTACACGGAACTCAAAGTAACTAATGCTCTCTCTTCATTCATATTCTCGCTGGCTTTCTCAGCCAGGCTTGTATACTAAAGAAGAGGGCATCTCGAACACACTCGGACGCTATCAGTGCCAAGGCGCCAGCAGCGTCATGTGACTTCCGCTGTCGTAACAATATCTTTACCTCAAATACAGACAGATCTTTATCTCAAACACAACCATATCATTACCTCAAACACAGCCATATCATTACGTCAAACACAACCATATCATTACATCAAACACAAGAATATCTTTACTTTAAACACAACCATAACATTACGTGAAATTGAACCATATAATTACGTGAAACATAACCATATCATTACGTCAAACACAACCATATCATTACGTCAAACACAACTATATTACTACGTTAAATACAGACAGATCTTTATCTCAAACATTACGTCAAACACAACCAAATCATTACCTCAAACACAACCATAACATTACGTCAAATTCAGCCATATCATTACGTCAAACATAATCATATCATTACGCCAAACACAACGATATCATTACCTCAAACACAATCATATCTTTACGTCAAACACAACTATCTTTACTTCAAATACAGACAGATCTTTATCTCAAACACAACCATATCATTATATCAAACAAAGCCATATCATTACGTCAAACACAACCATATCATTACCTCAAACACAACCATATCTTTACCTCAAATACAGACAGATTTTTATCTCAAACACAACCATATCATTACGTTTTGCACAGTTAATACAATTCTAATACAAGTTATACTCTAATAATCTTTATGCAGAATAAACTACATACTGTAAAATTATATTACAACATTATTAGTTTATCCAAATACATTTAATAAAACTTTCAATTTATTAATATGTGACTTGTTTTGCACTTATTTTAAAATCAAAACATATTACAATGGTTTTATTTACTTGATTTCATAGATAACACAATCTACATTATTCATTTTGTAACTTCTATGACATCTTTCAGTTAGCAGATTTAAACTTCCACGATATGATCTTCATATTATAACGCACCCACGGCTGAAAGGGCAAGAATGCTCAATGGTGAGATTTGAACCCGCACCCCACCGATTGAGAGTTGAGTGTCCTAACCATGAGGCCATGACAGGCCCCTTTCTAAAGGTCATTGTTTTTATTTATTTGTTATTAAATACAAAACTACGCAACGAACGAAAAATAATATAATAAGTGTTTCGTTTCCAAAAATACATTAGCGTTATTAAGTTATCATGTTCCATTTTAAAGAATTGTTGCATTAGATACACGTAACATGGAAAAGTAAGAGTCCATCTATCTGTAACAAAAGTTTCAGTTTCGGATTTTTTTATGTAAAATTACACAGCGAGAGTAAATTAAAAGGAAGATAAATATATGTTAACCTTAACGGTCCAGGTAGTTTCCAGGGCTGGTTTCTTTCCAACCAGTCCTTCAGAACACACGAACGTGAATGTATCACACTGAATTTGTTTACAGGTGATTCTGTTCCTCTCCAACAGCCCTCGCTTAATAACGTTCATCAGCAGGCCAATGGTATCGTAATCGGAACAGTCTTGAACAACAGCCGCAAACTTGACTGCCGCTTCTATCATTGTCCTTGACAGCTCAGCTAAGTAACATCATTTTTAGGTTAGGAAGTGGCCCGATAATATATATAACACCAATTGTTGTGAAATAAACTTGTAGATTACGTACTTACAGTAAGGTTATAGCAACCGGATTTCAACCATTGTCATAGCTAATAGTCCACACGATTACCTACGCCTAATTATTAACTAGTTACTAATTTGCTTTTATTTTTTATTGATTAATGATCACTAGGTAGTTGTTAGTCCTACGTTGGAATAATGATCACTAGGTAGTTGTTAGTCTTACGTGTGACTAATGATCACTCGGTAGTTATTAGTCCTACGTTTGATTAATGATTACTAAGTACTTGTTAGTCCTACGTCTGATTAATGACTACTAGGTAGTTGTTAGTCCTACGTGTGATTAATGATCACTAGGCAGTTGTTAGTCCTACGTTTGATTAATGATCACTAAGTACTTGTTAGTCCTACGTGTGATTAATGATCACTAGGCAGTTGTTAGTCCTACGTGTGATTAATTATCACTAGGTAGTTGTTAGTCCTACGTTTCGGCTGCTAATATGATCCCCTCTTCAGGGAAGACCCGAGAAGGAGTATATCTATAGTGGTAGTGGCCGGGATTCGAACCTAAATCTTCATGATAGAATGGTTGATATATTAATATATTTGAGTGTTTTCAAGAGGGGTATCTAGGTTTGGCTAACGTCTTGGCTTAGTGTGTTATCAGTTCAGTTAGGGGGATCTAGAAGGCATATTTTTTTTCTCACTTTGTCGTTCATATCCCATTATTTTAGTGTTATTCCAGTTTAGTAACTCGCATTATGGGCTATTGAAAATAGATCGGTATAATAAGGTATTCTATATGAAGAACACAGATTAAACCCCCCGAGTAATGTAAAAACGGGTGTCTTAGACTGCTGAATGTTTGTAATACCGAAAATAAATCAGACGAGTGGATAGCACAGTATCTTTTTTAACCAAAGAGACCCAGATTCGAAATCCGGTCACTACCAACACAGAAACAGTCGTTTTCAGAACCTCTAAAGATAAAAAACTAGTTGGTAATTAACAAAAAGCAACTAATTAATTATTAGACTTAGGTGATCGAATAGGCCGTTAATCTTGACAGCGATTGTAGTATGGGCAATGTTTTGACCAAGTTGCAACAGTGAGTACTTTTGTCATAATGCTGGATTGTATTTATATGTTACAGTCACGCTTCTCACTTAGATATCTTGTTAAGTATCATTTAAAAACACTTCTTTTCTGGTTGTTTTTTAAAAATGTTATTATAACCACACTTCTTACTCAGACAGTTGATTTTTTAATTAAAAACCACATTTCTTACATGTACATTTTGTAAATGTTTTTATTAAAACCACGCTTATTACCAACACAGTTTGTTCAAACATGTTATTGGTTATTAAAACCACACTCCTTACCAACACAGTTTGTT